AGAGAGAGAGAGAGATATATATAGAGAGAGAGAGAGAGAGATCTACCTATCTATATCTATATATATTCACATACATACATAATAGATATATATATATATATACACACACACACACACACACACACACATATATATTATATATACTTACACATACAATCACACACACATGCGTTTACATAGAGCAGCATGGGTCAGTGTTTTTCATGTTATATGAAAACCAACTAACATGAAAATACAACGCAATGATGGCCTACAAAGCACATACATAGAAGGATGTGAAAACTTGGAATTCTGTTGCTGGCAATGGGAACACAACCTGTTCTCAGAAGAGCACATGCAGAACTGTCCAGCAAGGAGCAGAGAGCTCTCCATGGTACTGATACTAACGGGCACAGATCTCATATCAGATAAATACTATGCTAATTATTAAAGCCAGAAAATGATGTTGGACACACGTTTTCAAAAGTATGATAATATGAAGCAAGCCATTCCTACCGTGTCATGTGTATTACACTTTTCTTCATTCTCACACACAGTGTGCACGGAGTTTATCAAGGAATCAGTGCTATCCAGCCTAATCCCATTTTCTAGAGGGCAGACTGGCATTTCCTGCTCAGATGTTGGCAGGGAAACCGATTGTATGCCCTGAAGCTTAGTCCTAGGCAAACTGGTGACAGAAACATCCAAGCTTGCAGAAATAGCAGACACATTTCCCATTTGCTTATCAACCAAGATAACATTCTCATAGATGTCAACTGGGGCGACCGTGGGCTCCATCGGTGGATCTTTATTAGGACGCATTGCTCCTTTCAAGGCTACATGAGATTGCTGCACATCCATCAGCTGTTCCACTGGAAGAGCATAGTCTTTCACCAGCACCTCAGGATGCTCAACATCCATCAGCGATTCCGAAGGTACCTCACAAGATGAGAACATCACAAGTGGAACCACGCGGTTAGACAATTCCTTAGCAGCAGTGGCGTCACACTCCTGGCTCTGGATAGCACCAGCCAATAAAGAACTGTGCATGAAACTGCACCTTGCTACTGCTTCCAAAACCCATGACTCCTCCGAAGTCTCACTGGCAGTCTGCGTGATACCGTGCTGTCCATCAGCACTCATACACAGCATCATGCAGTTGGACTCTCATTGATATCCTCAGAGATAATGGGGGGAAAAAGAAAAAAACAATTGCAATCAAAATTCCTTAAAAAACTGGAGTCCTGATTTTACTGAAGAGAGTAAATGCTGCAAATTCATGAGATGAGGCATCGCCTGGATGTCGGCTTAGCTTGGCCAGAAGATATAAACTGCAGAGCTTGCAGACAGAAAATAGCTCAGATATAGGTGATCCGTAGTCTTAAAAAAAGGAAGGAAGATGGGCAACATCTTGCATGTATGGTTTGAGCTTGAAATTTCTCCAGCATCATTCTTCTCTTCATTTCATTAGCATCACCCGCCTCGATTAGCTCTTCTCCAGGGCCTGCTGATGGTCACAAGCAATCTGAGGGAGCTCTGCTTAAAGTTAACTGCATCCTACCTCGGCTAGCTTTTGAAGTCATCAATATTAATAGAGGAGTTAAACCTACCAGATTTGTATTGCAAGCACTAGGCGACCAATGAAAAGAGAGACAGATGGTTACCATGGAAACTGTGCTAGAATGGAGTGTTTGCTGCCTAATGATGAAAGGTTAGGGTGCTGCTACACACACATCTTAAATGAACCCGAACAAGCTTTGTCCCCAGACAAGGATGACAGTAAACAATCATGTAAGAAAAAGATCATCTGTTTATAATCCACTCACCATTCATTAAAAAAACAGCATGCCCTCGGAACAGCATGTATAATAGGCATTCAAACAGCCGTATCAGCAAGGAAACATGGGATAGCTTATGTATTCACAAAAAAACATTTTGGCTCAATAGTCATCCATTTTCAGATGCCTTTCATCTGCGTTCCCCACAATATACATGTAGTGAGTCAAATGCTACACTGCTGTACATGATGCTTGCGCTATATGATCATGTATTTACATCACAGATTTCACAATGGAGATGTGCCTATTGTTCCAGTATATGAGAGTGAAAGAGAAAGAGAGAGCAAAGCGAGAAAGAAAGCAAAAGCGAGAAAGAGAGAGCAAAAGCGAGAAAGAAAGCAAAAGCGAGAAAGAAAGCAAAAGCGAGAAAGAAAGCAAAAGCGAGAAAGAGAGAGCAAAAGCGAGGGCGAGAGGAGAAAAAAGAGAGAGCGAGAGAGAAAAAAGAGAGCTAGAGCGCGAAAGAAAGAGAAAAAAAAAGAGAGCGCGAGCGAGAAAGGGAGAGCAAGCGAGAAAGGGAGAGCAAGCAAGAAAGGGAGAGAGAGAAAAAAAGAGAGCGAGAAAGAGAGAGAGATTTTGTATGTGTATATAATATACAAACACGAGAAGTTTTACAAAATTCCCCATATGCCGCATTTTACGCTTCATTGTATATTAAGTGAACCCTTGCTTCTATTGTTATTCTTTTCATCATTAGCAGTCACACACATTTCAGGAATCACCAACCTTTTACACAGAACTAAGGAAGTAAGATGAGAATCGGTATATATATTTTTTTTTGTGGGTCTCACTGGGTCAGTGAGACCCACAATATGCATAGTCTATATAGCTCTATAAATCAAGCTGAATGGGCCAGACTAGTTTAATAACACTAGGACTTGTCCCAGAAAAATTTGATGAAATGAAACTTACATACATATGCACGTATACACAATTGGTTATATACAAATTACACAGAAGTCTCTGAATTGTGTACACTAGTTGGTCCCTGTAGGTCAGTGGTTCTCAACCTTTCTAGGGCCGGGACCCCTTGGTAACATTTGCCAAGTTGTGGTGACCCCAACGGTAAAATTTAGGGATGACGCAGCTGCTGCGCTAGGAGAGGGCTGAGGAGGACTCTCACCTAGCACAGCAGAAATCACACAGCGACCCCGCAGCTTGAGAACTGCTGGTGTACGCCGTCAGAATAAAAATAAAAAAAAACACCCTAGGAATGCATACCCTAGGAATGCATAGCTAGATTCCTATTGGCTATTTCACTTTGCAATAGCCAATAGCAAACTAGCTATTGCACCCGCCCTCTGCTGCTGTCAATCAGTAGTGGGGACCTGATGGAGAACTTCAGGTCCCCCTCTGCTGATTGGCAGCAGCAGAGGGCGGGTGCAGTAGCTAGTTTGCTATTGGCTATTGCAAAGTGAAATAGCCAATAGGAATCTAGCTATGCATTCCTATGGTGGGTTTTTTTTTTTTTTCCTGACTTACGGCGACCTACGGCCCCCAATGTCAGACAAAAAAGGTTTACTCTGCTCGGGAGAAAGTGTTTCTCTCCCAGGCGGCCAGGAGCCGCTATCTAATAGCAGAAGACTCCCGGGCGACCCCTGGCAAATCGTCATTTGAACCCCGAAGGGGTCCCGACCCACCAGTTGAGGACCGCTGCTGTAGGTGAATTTGGAGATGAAGCAAAATGTTAAAGGAGAATTATGAAAAATGCCCATAATTCAGGCCGACCTGTGACACTGAAATCGGTTGGCTCTATTGATCAGCCCGCTACATGCTGGGTTTTGGGTCACCTGAGGACATTAGTATAGTCTGACGTGACCCTGAAGAGAACGATGGGCTAAAAATGTTGCCCCATTGTTCTCGTAATCATTTGTCATTCTCTTTAATTTCAGTATTGGATATATTAGGTTATGTTTAGCAGTTTATATCCTGCTGGGTAGATTTACTTTTAATCTCTGCGTGGAGAATGGGAAATGGGAGGAAAATGTCTCCAGAGTGAGAGGAGTTTTGATCTAAGACCATTGTCACCAAAACATTTTCCCCTTTGGACAGCCACAGCATATTCAAAGAAAAAGAAGAACTCCGCGATTCAGGTAAGTGTGTGTGTGTGGGGGGGGCGGCAGGATGAGGGTAGGGGGTTTTGACTGACTACCCTCGGCAAAAGCTGCCGGGAGTCTGTTTAAACGGGCCCGATGCCAGTGACATACACTGTATGTCACTGGTCAAAAAATGCAAACAAAAAAAGCCTTTAATTTAAAAGGAGAACTATGAGGTGAGTGATTTCCACTCATCCTCATAGTTAGAGCCGACCTGTGACAAAGAAGCTGTCACAGGTCGGCTCTATAGATGGGGAAGTGAGCAGAAACATGCCGCCGATCTGCTCTCTTCCTGATAGTCTCCCTACAGTGAGCAGTAACTGTCAGTCACCACTCACTGCAGGGATTCCCCCCTCCCATCTCCAATCCTGCAGTGGAGGAACGAATGGGGGAGGGGGCAGACACAGCTGGCTCTGCCTCTAGATACGCAGAGCCTGCTGTCACTCACGCAGCCGGGTGGATCCAGACAGTATTGTTGGGATCCGTCCCGGCTGCGGCTGTCTAGGTATATCGCGGGTAATAGCCCGCTATATACTGAGCTTTGGGTCACGTGAGGAGGTTAGTATATGTCCTCCCATGACCCTAATGAGAATTATGGGGAAAAACACTTAACCCCACAGTTCTCTTTTAAAACCTTATTAGAGTAAACAATTGAACGCTGAACTCTGGGCTACATTATAATTTGTGAATCACTTGGCTGTAGATCCTAAAATCATCTAGCCACTGCTCCAAGCTCTCTCCCGTGATGGACTAACATCTCAATACAAATGAGTAAACTAAACATGAGATTGTAGTCCATCACAGGAGTGAGCTTGGAGCAGTGACTACTTTACAACACACACAGGGACCATGGGGAACAAAAGTAGTCACCTAACAGAAGGAAGGACAGTGTCGGCATGAATTCAGAGATGATTTGAGGATCTACAGCCGAGTGATACACAAATAAGGCCCAGCATTGTTAATAGTTAAGATACTTGAATGCATTCTTAAGATTTAACTCCTGAGTTGTCTCAATTTAATATCCCACTTCCAAATTTCATAAATTTTAAGAAAAGGTTAATCTTACCGAGCAGTTCTGTGAAGTATCCACATTTTGGGCCGATGCACCGTGAGTTTGGTTGAAATCAGACATATTCATTGATTCTTCACTACTGTTACTTTCAGTCAGACATGAAGAAATATGGGTGGAATCTTCAGGGTTGTGAGCAAATTGATTAGATCTTTCCTGTAAAGGTGACCATGTTGTACAAACATTTTTGGTCTCCAACAGGGCAAAGGTACTTTCTGAAGAATGATGTTCAGGGAAATCTCTATGAATGGGCATTCGATGCCTTTCAGTTTCTGGGCTCTCCTTCCATGACTTTTCCGTAGAATTAAGTGGAGAATCAGGCCGTGGAAATGCACTTTCCAGTGACCTAGTCCTTGACAATGCACTCTGACCGGAACTACGCTGAAAACCTGCATTTTCAAGAGATCTTGGTCGTGAGGATGTTTCGTCCAGTGACCACTGCCTGACCGTACTGCTGCCAAGAGAATGGCGTCCAAATTTAATTTCTTGGCAGCCCAAAGGCTTTGCTGTGTTATTTAAAATGGCAGATGCGTTGCTATCAGAAGGGTCCAGAATATACTTAATGAAAAGGCTCCTTTCCAAATCTAGCTCCACTTTGAGATGTCGGATTCTTGCGGCCTGAGCACCATCATTGTCCCACCGAAGTTTAGACAGAACATCTTGAACTTTGCAGTGGCATTCACTATTGAGTGAAGAATTTGATCCATTTTTCTTGTTACTACTACTACTCTTTCCCATATTGCCCTTATTCAGTAATTCATCAACCAACTGTTTCTGTAGTTCCCTGGCTTGTCTTATTGCAGAATCTCTCTCTTTATGTAGAAACATCTGCACCTCTTTTAATTCCTGCTCTCTCCACCTCATCAGCTGCTTTATTTCCTGTTCCCTATCTCTGAACATTGAATCTTTCAGTTGCTGGAGCTCACGGCTTTTCTGCTGCTCCCACCTAGATGTCAAATCATCCACTAACTTGTTCTTTTCTTTTTCAGATGCTTCTTTAGTTTCCTTCAGTTCATAGTTGTACCTTCTCCTGGCTTCCTGCCCTTTTAATTTTTCATGTTCCAGTTCTTTCTTTACCACTTCAAGGTCTCTCTTGAATTCCTCCAGCAGACAGTTTTTTGGGGGTGAAAATCGAGAATTGTTATCGTTTTCATTTAACATGTTTATGAAGAGTCAGGATGGGTGAAGCAGCAGAGATGTTAGAATATGCAATATATAGCTTAGCAGTAGTCACGCAGAGCTTGGAGTTAGCAGGAGAATCTGGGAAAGCAAAAAAAAAAGGGTTTTAAAGGTAATTTTTTGTGAGTGCCTTTTACAACACAATATGAAGTATTATAGAAGCACTGTTCTCCTGACTAAATGGGAACATATGACGTCAGACAGAATGTTGAAGCCAAACCTCAGACAATAAATAAATGCAGACAGTGAAGACAGGGCAAAGTGTCTCTGCAAGCAGATGGCTGACCTAGTTATACTCTCCTTACCAGGGTTCCCCCACCAATCCTTCCTTCTCTGCAGCCGGCAACACCACCGGACACTCCCAGGTACAGAGCAACAGGTGATCTTGCCTGTCAGAGTGCTCAGAGCTAGCAGCCAAATAACTAGGCCAGAGCACTGTCACATGACCAAGGGAGTGACATCACCACCCCATGGCCCCGGTCACTGGTCATTTCAGTGTTGGTTGTAGGGGAGGCAGGAGAAGCAGGGAACACTGGTAAAGAAAGTATACCTTGGTCAAGTGGCCTTCTGAAGAGACACGGTCACTTAGCCCTGCATAGGCAAGGTGACAGTGTCTGTAAGATAATTGTGTATTCCTTTCAAATGGAATTATTTTATACACATTAGCATTATTACCTGAATCTGTACTGATATCAACTCATGCCATCCCTCACAAGCACTGGGAGAGGAAGGTGAAGAGACATCACTAGAAGATAATCAGACTCTACTGCATGAGGAGAGAGCAGAGCTGATGACATGTTATTGTACTGCTGCACTTTCATTGCCCAATCAGCAGGCTGGGTGCAAAGAAGTACACCGTATTCCTGAGTTGTCCTAGAGCGAGTGTACAAAGTAGTGTCAAACCACCCCGGCTATGGTGTCTAACAGAGGTGTGTGAATCACAAAAGTGGCTGGATGGTATATTTAGCCATGTGCCTTGAATTCAGCTTTCTGTTCCATCATGCAATCACAGTCATATACAAAAGAAAATTTAAATGTATGTAAACCTGAACAACAAACTTCTCTTATATACCCATTATTACTAGAGGTGCGCCGAAATGAACATTTTAAAACCGAAATGAAAAAAAAAAAATGTTGTGCCGAAACCGAAAATTTTTTTTTCTAACTTTTTAAAAATATTTAATTTTTATTTATTTTTTTATTAAATATTTGTACTTTCTCTTTACTTTTAGGTGCGTCGGGGAAATATTATTAGGGGTCTAAAACAGACCCCTGATATTTCCCTTTTAAAATAATAGAAAAAGATTGAGAACACAGAGGTCCTCTATCTCGTTTTCTGTATCCCATGTTATCAATGAACTGGATTCCTCTAGGAGTGTTCTAGTTCATTGATAACATGAGGACAGAGTATGTTTACTATAACCACAATCATGAATGAACAGGAAGTGATGTAGATCACCTCCCATTCACTCATAATTGAGGATATAGTAAACGTACTCTGTCCTCAATTATTTACAAACACTCAGCGATCACTGAGTGTTTGTACCCGCTCTCCATCCTGACACGCTGTCACAGGAGGCTGAGCCAGGGATGCGGGAGAGGAGAGGTCGATCTGACAGCTGACTCCTCCCCCACACCACCGGTCGGCCTCTTGTGACAACACTGGCTGTCTCCGCCCACACGGCTGCTCTAATGATCAGTCACTCTGTGTCCCAGCGGGGAGGAGAGACGCCGGCCACTCACAGCGCTCTCCTCCAGCAGCGCTTGGTCGCCTGTGACAGTTTCTCTTCTCCCCGCTGGGACACAGAGCAGCGCCCGGTGAGGAGGAGAGAAAGCAGAGATGCACCGCTATATCGGCAGAAAAATTGCACTTTCGGCTTTTTGCCAAAAGTGCAATTTTTGGCCAATATGTTTCGGCGGCTGATATATCAGTGCATCCCTAATTATTACACTTTGGTGGTATAATAAATACACCATTTAACAACGTTTATTATATCTGTTTATTCCAAAAAAAACTTTTGTTCCGGTCACAGGTCTTCGTTTGGTCTTTCACTCTGCTGGCTGTCATCAGTTGCACTGTTCTCAACTGTCTATGGATTGCAAAACACCTCCCCTTAATTGAGAAAGCTGGTAGGATGACCAGTGAAACGTCTTCAAGGAAAATACAGCTAGTCCAGTTGCCTTAACTTTTTTTTTACAGATATACCATGACCTGGATGAATGAGAACCTTCACAGACACCTCCCTTTAAGTTAAGAAAAGAAGCGGATGTGTTCTGTAGTCCTAGCACACTTCCTGTCGTAAAGTGACAACACTACTCCTCCATAGAACAGTATGGAGAGTAAGTCACTCTAGTATAGGAGGTGTGTTACTCGCAGGATCACCAGATGAAAAAGTACAAACACCTAAGAAAGAAAACTAAGAGCCACCATACTAAGGCTGCAGTATATTACATTGGTGTTCATTGGTTTAGATACTTTGAGTGGTCAGTTCCAGACAGATACTGGTTACATATACATAGTTACAGTATTTGAGGTTGAATAAAGACATTAGTCCATCAAGTCCAACCTATTAGGATCTCATTCTAGGAGTACCTGTACCCCTATATATTACGGTCCCTTAAGAAATCGTCCAAAAGTTTCTTGAACAATTCCACATTATTTGCTGAAATCACCGCCTGTGGCAGTGAGTTCCAGACCCTAACTGATCTTTTAAAAGCTCCTCCAGTCTTTCTACCATTTTCCCCCCCAGGAATGCTGCACCTTTCCCATTAAGATGCAGCCCGTCTCGGCTGAAGAGCCGATAGCCGACTGCGAAGTCAGCCCAGTTCTCCAGGAAACCAAAACCTTCCTTCTGACACCAGCTCCGGAGCCGGTTCTAAATGATAAAATAATGCTACATGCCCATGGCTATAAAAATATACACAATTAAAATCAGTACAGCTGGGGGTTTTTTTTTTTTTTACAGATCTGAATGTAGGTGTATTGTTTTCAAAGGCTACATGTGCACATAGGTGCATGAACAGGATCTGCATTCAGATCCTAGAAAAAGAAATAAGTCGCAAAAAAAAAATCTATAAAGACAGAAATTTCGCATGCGTACACGTGTAAATGCATCATCAAGCATATGCATGTAACTGAACTCCAAACAAGAAAATAAAGTTCATTACCTGCACACCTCATAGGACTGAAAACCAAGCAGGAGGAATGGAGTGAACATTTTACGCCTTTAGATGCATATGCTTGTTTACGCAGCTAATCGCATGCATTTTCCTGCCGGGTATTTACGCAGGAACTTTTTGGCCATAAACAGCATGTGTACATGATCAGTAAATTTCTTATGGCCGTGATCATGTAGCCTTTATGCATCAAGTCATTAATCGATAACGGAAACAGAAAAATATATGTTACATAAAAGCAGGTATAACTTTCCACGTTACTTTATAATGGGAGTTGCCATCATAATTATTACATTTACCATTTACATTTTTAGTTAGCATAACCAAAATTACAAAACAATATAAACCTGTACTAAAAGCTCATTTACAGGCTCTTATTATATCGAATACCATTGCCTAGTGATGGATGTGTAACTAATCCCCTACCCAACTTAGAATCTGTGAAATATAAATCTTTCATTAAAAAACGCTTTCTTTCCATTGCCTGTAGGAGGACATGGCAGTGCTCCTCAAACATATTTTACATACCATGGGTATGCAGGAACATCTGTTTTTCAGCCTTGAGGCCCGTTACCTTAGGCGGACCTTTATTCCCATTCACAAAAAAAAAAAAATCACATCAGCGTGCAGCTCTTCATCTTTTCTTAAGCATGGTTAGTTAAACATATTTAGCTTTAGCAGACAGTTACTGGTTTTTCACTTCCAGGTTCAATGAGGCACTTGTGATGTAGCACTGGCCTCACAGATGCATCCTGGGAAGGCTACATCACCATTGTCTTCCTGGGAAATCTCTTTTGTACATTGCAAAATCTCACGAGATCTTGGTGGAAAGGCATTTTTCTCCTTGGAGATAATGAGCACTATTATGTTCTGAAGGCAGACCCAAAGTTCCAGTAAGGCCCAGTTCACACCGATGCAGTTCGGATCCGCCGAAATGAACATTCCCATACATTGCTATGGGGACGGTTCATGCGACCGCGATCCAAATCGCCCCCCGCCTGAACTGCTCCCTGCACTATTTTTGCCACGCTGATCAGTGCTGTTTCCATACAGCTTTCAATGGGACCACACTTATCAGCGCGGTTTTGGGCATTTTTTATTGTTTTCAGCTCAGTTTCCTCACTTTCGAAATCAGCCCGGAAAGCGCGCTGATCTGCAGTTGCCCTGGTGTGAATGGGCTCTTAGTAAAAGGGAGATGAAATAATCTGCCCTTAGTGAAAATGGCCACCTTCAGAAGAATGGGGAGGAAAAGAAAAATAATGTATGCAAAGAATAAAAAGCCGGCAATTATGTATAAAGTATCTGTGTGTAGATCGCCATTACTAAACATTTGTTGTCATTTTTAAGATAAGGGTGAACTTCCTATTTAGGGCAGACCATAGTGCACCTGCACTATTTTTTACAATGCAGCACGCCACCACACAGAGTATTCACATCTGTGCATTGTGACGCTATACAGTCCAGGCATTTTGGTTACAGTACATGTTGGGGTACCATTGTCCATGACAACACAAGTGTGAATCATTATCTCTCCGCACAACTATAATGTCCATTTTAAAAGAAACCAGACATAAAAGGGCAAAACCTTTACCCCCTTTAACTTTAAAAAAAGAAAAAAAATCACCTCAGCATACAGCTCTGCATGCGGATGTAAAATCATATTACAGTCAATGGTTAAACAAAATTTTTTATTTTACTTACAAATAAGAGTTCATCAACTTCCTGGTCCACTTTGGCACAAATGATGAAATTGTGCCCAAGCATTGCATCCTGGGAAGGTTACATCAGCAGTACAGTGCTTGGAA